GAGCCTGGTCACCTGGGTTCAAATTTTGCTATCATGACTTAGTAATTATGTGACCTTGGACAATTTAACCACTCTGTGTCTTCAGTTTTCACCCATTAAAATGAAGGTACTCACATTAAAAGCACTGTGTATTACAAACATGTACTAATAAAATGTCTTTTAAGTAGCCAAAATAATAATAAAAAATTAAAATAGGGATACTAACAGCTACTCATAGTGTGAGGATGAAGTGAATTAATAAATATATAAAGCACTTAAAAGAGTACCTAGCATATAGTACTAAGTGCTTCTTGCTGTCACTACCACCACCACCACTATGATCATCGTCATCATCATCCCTATCTAGGTCTTTGAAACTAAGGGGTCCTCCCCATGCTGCTGTGATGCTGCTCTAAGTTAGTAAGGACAATGTAATTTGCTGCCCATTCTGGTAATGCCAGAGCAGCTTTCACAGTCACGCATAAGCATAACAGGAACTGAAACTCACAAGGAGGGAAGAGGCAACCACTCACACAAATGGGAAAACGTCTGGCCAGCAAGCCCATTTCTCCCTATCAAATGGAAATGTTCCAACTCCAGAAGGAGTTTGTATATGTTCTACAGGTATCTAATTTGCTCCTAGAGAAAACTGGGCTTGGATTTTAAGCAAATTTAGTTTTTTAAAAACCAGTCTTATGGATCAGCTGAGATAAATTATTAGTCTTCCTGTGGAGATTTACAGCTGTCACATACAGGTAAATAAACTGTCCTTGGACAGTGATTTTTGACAATACACTTTTCCAAAGATTGAAATAAAGCCTCTCTAAAAATTATTTTTTCCTTACCAGAATCTCTCACTGGGAGATTTGTTTTATATCAAGCATTAACGCTAGAATGGTAATTTACAAATTACAGTTAGCATTTGAAAGCCTTGTGCCCAAATAATGATGTCACTGAGCAACACATCTAAAATGACACCGAGAACTCACCTTGGAAAATTGCAGCATTCTGAATAATTACAAACTTGAGCTCCATACTTGCAGATTGAAGCAATTGTTCCATGTTCAATCGTGCTGTTAGTTGGTATTTTTCTTCCATCTTTCTTGAGCAGCATGTTGGGCCCTTGGGGAGACATACTTGCAAATCTGATCCTGAAACAAACAGGGTTTTCATGTTTCAGTAAGCAGAATCTCTCTCTGTCTCACACACATGCGTGCACACAAAAGCAAACAGGGCAAAACAATGCATCTTTCAAACTACAGTAAAATCTTGATTATTCAAAATAGTGTTTATCTCAATTAATCCCTGCTTTCCCACAATTGTTCTTATAACTTATTATTTTAAATAACCATCAAAATTAATAGCCTTGGTTTTACTCATAAATTCTGCACAAACTAATTTATAGCACCAAATACAGCTTCTGAACACCAATATTTGTCTATTAAAAGATCAATCTTCACTCTTATAATTTATTTTTTCTGATTATAATTTATGAATAAGAACACACTCAAGAAACAATTTTTTAAGATTCCAGTTCTTTCTAAATGAAATGTATGTCTGGTCAACTCAATGTTGCTTTTCAGAATAACTAATGAAAATATCAGTATTATATCAATGTCATGTGATGTTGTTGCTTTAACTAAAGGTCTGGAACAAAATACAAGTCATTCACACATATTTATTTATTCAATGATATTATATGCCAATCACAGTGATTATAACAATATTACAAAGCAACGTCCCTGCTCTCACAAAGTTTACATCCCAGGGGACAGTAAACAAAAGTATAAGCCTGATGTTAAATGATGATATGTACAATAGAAATAAAGTAAGGAAAGGAGGACAAACTGTGGCATATCCACAGTTTTTATTTAGCCATAAAAAAAGGAAGTTCTGATAAATGATTACCAAATGGATGAACATCAGAAGCATTATGCTAAGTGAAATAAGCCAGATCAGAAAAAAGTGTATACTCTATGATTCCATTTACACAAAAGGTATACAAAACATTAAACGATAGTGAGAGAAAGCAATTCAGTGGTTATTAGGGAGAGACGGAAGGCAAGAAGAGGGTCAGAGGGAGGGAATACAAGGTTAGTGAGGAAACTCTGGGGAATTCTGATACATTCATTATTTTTATTGTAGTGATGACTGAACATGGGTAAACACATCAAAATTATCAAACTGAACCCTTAAAATATACATTGCTTACTACGTATCATTTATACCTCAATAATGCTTTTAAATTTTTATAAAGCAAGCAAAGGGAGATAAGAAATATGGTGGCATGTGGTGGTAGCAAGAACTTGTCTGGTTTTATAAAGGGTAAGCAAAGAAAACTTTTTTCATAAGGCAACATTGAAGGAATGATGAAAAAAGTGAGGGAAGGTCCCATACTTTTATATCCTCCACAAATGTTAGCAAATATTAAAGTTCAACTAATATTAACCCCAATCTCCTTCCTTTCTGCATCTCCTATTTGTTTGTTAGTGTTGGGGATTGAACCGAGGGCCTCATAGCTGCTACACACATATTCTTCTACTGTGAAACTTGTTTTACTCAAACTTTCTCTTCAATGAGCATTTATTGAGCTCCTTCTGTGGTGACCATGAAAGTGTGTACCTCAGCACCTCAGCTCTCCTGCTGTGGGGAGTAATTGATTATTAGCCTTAGCTGCTGTTCTCTGATTTCAGCACCATGTTGTACAAAGGCCACAATCCCTAAGGCCTGCTCTCAACCAGTGACAGAGCACGGCAAAGACACTAAGTCCTGTGAGACGGAAGACTTTATTTACAGAGAATTTTGGCTTCAGGGCTCCCCACCAATTTTGCCCAAACATTCTTAAAACTATAGGGTGGTCTAAGGATCTTCCTACTCAACTTTCCTTCCATTCCTCTCTACTCCACAGAGATATTACCTATTCCATCCTCTAATGGCTCTTGCGGGCTCCTTCAGCACCTTACCTATTTGCCTTCACAAGTATTTTCCCCAATAACTCTACTGTAAATCCAATTCCATTTTGGATTCAGATGCTAATCCAACTGGCACCTGCTTCACAGAAGACTTGAGTCCAACATAACATTTATGTGCCAGGTACTACACTATATGCTAGAGGGACAACTCTGAACAAGAGAGACTTGCTCTCTGCCCCCATGGAGCTCACTATCTACAGGATCTAACAGAGAAAAATACCTGGTCATGCAAATGAACACATATCTACATAGGATGATAAAAAGTATATATGGAATATAACTTCTCCAAAGTCTTCTAAGGTCCTCGGGAAAGTAAAGTTCAATAAATCCTACTGAAAGAAAGCCTGAAAGCATATTCAGACATTTTAGACAGCTTTTTGAAAACTGGAGTTTTAAAGGAAGGAGACTAGTTACCCATAAGTTACTTAAAAGTTACTTTTTATAACAACATTTTAATTGCCTAAGAATTCCAACCGTTCATGCTCTTAATATATATGCCGAATTTTTCTTTTCTTAATTTATGAATGAAATTTATCAACTTTTGCCACACATGACATCACTGGATATTGACTGGAAGCTCTCCATTCCCCCTGCTCAAGGGAGCTGCTGACAAAAGTAGAAAAGGAGAGCACAGATAATACATATCACCAAACCTAATCCAGCACTGCAATTTATGGTACTGGATGGAGAGGTGATATTTAATGTCAAAATACAATTTGGGGTCTGGAGACACAGAGTTCAGATTTATCTCCTACAAATGTCAATCTCATATAAAAGCCTTAAACTGATTTTAAATATGGTCTAAACTTAAAGGCTTTATGATTATCTTCAGAAAAAGAAAAAAAAGCCAGGGATTTAGCTCAATGGTACCGCCACCTGCCCCACAAGCGCAAGGTCCTGAGTCCAATCTTTGGTACCAAAAAAAAAAAAAGTTTAAACAAAAAAAAGTAGAGCTGCTAGTTCAAGCTCATTGTGTTCTTTCTACATGAATTTACAAAATGTAGTGCTATTCTAGGAGTAGAAACTGATGCAGTTTACTGGACCGAGAAGGGAAAGCGTCCCTTTGGGGAAGAGTGGCTAATCTAAATTTAAACAAGGTTGGTTGGGACACACATGTAGATACAAAAAATCCTATATAGCAAAGACTTTTCCATACACCAACTTCTCGTCCATTTAGCAAAGCTTTCATGGTAAACCAAGGCCTAAGTAGTACGTGTTTTAAATCTCTGTAATTATATAAGTTTATAAAATTAATTGTTATAGATCAAATTTTTTGTGTTTCCCAATTTGCCTTGGGGATGACTTTCAGTTTTCAAGAACTAGTGAGTTTATCTGGCAGAATGGATGGCTGTTAATATTGTTCCAATTTTCACCAGCTCAAGCTAGTGGGAGTTATAGAAGAACAGGGCTAAGATCTATTCTCTGTAAAGTGTTGTGAGTTGCTAAGATCTAATAAGGTTAACAAATTGTTGTTCAGTGAAGCTCAAGAATGACTCTGAATTACCCCCATTTGGTCTGCCTTTGAAATGATAATTCATAAAGTCACTCAGAGCTTGAGTAGTGTGCCCCTTCCCTAAGCTGGTCAAGTTTCATCATTGTATAAACTACTATCACATCAATAATCAGGTTACCCAAAAATACTTCAAGGAATAAAATCTCAAATGAGAACTTTTCAGAAAACATCTCAAATGTCATGAAAAAGTATGTTATATCCAAATGTAAATGTACATATAGCGATATTTACCTTCTTTTAGCTATCACTGCCTTCCTAATCAATAAGCCACTACAACTGATCTAGAGGCTAACAGTTAGCTATAGATTTGCTGAAATAAAACATCCACAAACTGATAAGAACTCAGGATTTGCAAAGGAGAAGAAAAATACATACCTAAGGGGAAAATATTTCATTTTAAGTACATTTAATGTAAGTTCCTGGTCAGCTTTTACAAATCCTCACAAGTCGGGCATGGTGGCACATGTCTGTAATCCCAGCACTCAGAAGAGGCTAATGCAGGAGGATTACTGTGAGTTCGAGGCCAGCCTGGTCTACATAGTGAGTTCAAGTCCAGCCTGAACTACATAGTGTAACACTGTCTCAAAAAACCAAAATCAAACAAAATAGAAATTCCCACAAGACAACATAGAAAGCCGGACATGCCTAAATGAAACAAGAATCATTAAATATAAACATTACAATGCCATGAACATTTGCATGAAACAAAACAGGAAGATATAGAGAAAAAATTAGAGGGAATCCTCATCAAATGAACAAAGAATTATGCAGGGAACTGAATCTCTCAAATAAGATGAATAAAAAATAAAATCAAAGGCAAATGACTAAAGAGGTACACTGAGAACTACTACACAGTTGTATGAATAAAAGCCAAGAAGTCAATTCAAGAAAGAAGATGTAGCCAACAAAAGACATAGTAAATAGAAAATCAATCTCTAAGTATATGAGGGACAAAAGAAAGTTAAAGGAAAATAGCCCTTTTATTAGATAGAAAGAAAAAGAAATTGTGGACCACATTCATCAAAGAGAGGTGCTCATTTTTTTAATGGAATTCAGTGGGGAAATAGAAAGAAAAACAAGCAATATAGCCTAGGATGGCAATAAGGAGAAGACTTAGCAATTGCCTATTCAAATGAACCAGAAAGGTTCAGCTTTTGGGGGCTTAATAACTTGCATTCCCAGATGCTAAAAAAAATAACTGAAGTCATTACAGAGCTGCTAGTTCCCATTTATTTTGAAGGATTATAAAGTACCTTCGTACTATAATCTCCTCTCCTAGACTGTAAATTCCTGAAGAACAGAAAATGACTCCCATGTCCTTTGGGATGGCCAGGCAATCCCATTCAGCCCTGTGCACATACTGTTGAATTAATGAGGGCTATAGATCAAGAACACTGGCAAGAACTCTGTGTCTGTCTGTATCTAAAGAGAGGGAGTAAAAACAGATAACCCTGAAAATTTAACATCAGCATATCATAAAAATCAATTTCCAAATAGCTGGGAGATACACAAACACATGTTCTACTTAAAGGAAATATGAAGTAATGTATTTCTAGTTTTTCTGAGGTGATGCCTTGCTTGCATATTGGGTCCAGTTCTGAGATCTACAACTGAAAGGGGGATATTTGAACTATGGAAGCTTTTCCTCTGGGGAATTTTTCCCATG